CAGGATCACGGACTGGGAAAGGAAAAATAGTCGAGGTTATCGTGATTGACAGTAATGAAGTTAGAATGATTTTGCTCAACTGCATCTTTTGATCCCTTCGTTAAACTTTTTGCTGAACAGTAATACAAGTATACAAGGCTGCCCAGTTAGCTCAGTTGGTTGGAGCATGGTGCTTATAACCCCAAGGTCCAGGGTTCGATCCCTGTATCAGCCAGCTGCAAAAAAAAAAAAAAAAAGGAAGAAAATATGAGTATACGTATAGAACGAATCATTTTGTGAATTTTAACAAACTGAATACACCCAGCATCCAGATCAAGAAGTATTGACTATACCTTAAAAGCCCATCTCCACACACTCTTCCAGTCACTACCCGTCACTCCTGCCCCAGGGTGGCCACTCTGCTGACACTTAGTGTAGAATGGCGTTGCCTGTTTTACTTAATACAAATGGAATCATTTGCTATGTACTCTTTTGTTTTGTCTGGCTTCCTTCACTCAACATTATGTTGTGAAATTCACCCACATTCTTGGGCTGAGATGTAGTTCACGCATTCATATGTTTAAATAAGCCATAATTTATTTTTCCATTCAACTGCTGATAGGCATTTGGATAGTTCCTCCTTTGGGATTCTTGCCAGTCGCACTGCTGTGGGCACACAGGGCGCGGCTGACAAGTGGGTGCTCACACATTTCTGGCAGGTGGACACCTGGGAGAGGATTTTCAGGGCCCTGGGTGTGTTCATTGGTAGTCAATGCTGCTTACCTGTTAACAACAGAAAAGAGCACGTGAGGATTGCTGTTCAGAAACAGACCCCCTCCTGCTCGTAGGAGATTCAGTCCAGCGCGTCTGCAGTGAGATCTGATCTTTCTGCCATTCAATCAGCCATTCATCCTTACTTAACTCACCCTTCTGCACATCTATAGAGAAAGGATGCCCAATATGTAAGAAGAGTATTTGCAGAGTTGTGAAGAACCTTCTGAGTCACCAGAAAGAGCTTCTCATTTGCTTTTTGTAGTTTTACAATGAAATGATCAACTCAGACTGAGTTCTAATTCATTTATTCACAAACATTTATTATATTTCTACTCTCTAGAAGGAGCTATAAAAGTAAATTTTAAAATGCAACCTTGTTCAGAAGACACAGCTTTGGGGAGTGTAAATATCTCTAATGCAAATTAGAATGGAATGAGTTTCATTTTAAAAACATGTATGTAAGGTGACTATTTTTTAATATTCATAGCCTACATATGTTAAATATTATATTCTAGGGTGTTTGATTAAATATAACTTGCTATTTCTCCCATATGTCCCTTCATAAACTTTTATGTCTAAACATTCATTAATTCATCAATGACAAACATCAGTTCAGGTTAAACATCACAAGAGTCTAATTTTATTCTATTTTGTGAATCTAGGGGCACCTAAACTCCACACCAACAAATTTATTCAATCCATAAATAGGTATTTTATGCTTATCTCTTTACACTTCGGGATACTCCTAGAATCCCTTTTTTTTAATTTCCCAGTTGTCTGCTAGAGAGTTTAGTGCTGCCACCTGTTCTGTACAACTATTCCTTCAGTGAATATTTGCTTAGCTTACTTTGTGTCAACTGTTGTACCAGGTACTGGATATGGGACAATGAACAAAACCCCACATGGTCCCTATCCTTACAGGGTGGACAGTCTCAGGGAAAAGAGACACGTTGTTCAAGTGGCCATACAATATAATTTCAAACAATGATATGTGTAGTGGGTTTAATAATGTCCCCCCAAAATTCATGTGCAGCCAGAGCCTCAGAATGAGACCGTATTTGGAAACTGGATCTTTGCAGAGGTAATCAGTTAAGTTAATCATTCTGGATTAGGGTGGGTCTAATGTTTGGTGTCTTTATAAGAGAAAGGAGAGGGAGATTCTGACACAGGGACAAAGAAACACACAGGGACGAAGGCCACGTGATGACAGAGGCAGAGGTGGAATGCCACAGCTCCCAGACAAACTCCCATTCCAAAGCTCCAGGAATACCAGGGACTGAGAATCAGCAGGAAAACACTCTCCCCCAGAGCCTTCAGAGGGAGTGGGGCCTTGCTGACACCTTGATTTTGGACTTCTAGTTTCCAGAATACTGAGCGAATACATTTCCGTTGTTTTAATACACGGTCTTGTGGTAATTTGTTACAGCAGTCCTAGGAAACTAATGCAACAGGTTTTAGGTTGAACCATGAGAAACTGGCAGTTTCTGACTGCTCTGACCCACACAGGCAGCAATATTATATGGTTCAACCTCACGTGCTAGGAGCTTGCAAGAGGAAGATTTCATTGACCAGAGAGAGCTTCCTTAAGGAATTTCTAATGGAAATGAAATCTGGAGAACAAGTAGAAGTTAATGAGGTTGAATAGAGAAAGAAGAAAAGAGCCCCCAGCAGAGGGGACAAAAGTCCTGAGGCACAAGGTCCAGACACCTTTGAGGAACTGAGAGAGAAAGTGACTGGGACATGGGGCAGGTGCAGGGCAAACTGAGGCTGGACAGAGAGAAAGGGGCAAAAATGGGCCTCAGAGCCTGGATTAAAGCCTTAGGTTTTTGTTTTAAGAGCAGTGGGATACCACTGATGGGTTTTAAACCAGAAAGCGAGAAGAGACCGTAACCATAGAATGGAGAGCCGGTTAGCTGGGAGTCCGTTCCAGGGAGTGCAGGAGCCCAGGTGGTCTCTTTGACCAGGAAGGCACTGGTGGGGATGGAGGGAGCGGGCAGCTGAGAGGTTTCTAGGAAAGAGCTCCGTGCTTCATTTCAGTGATGTGTCCCGATTAATATACCACCCGTCCTTGTTCTCCTTGGAGACACTGAATTCTCATGAAATGTACATGCCAGTCCTGGTGCCTCCAGGGCCCCAGTAGTAATTAACGCAGTCACGCGGAGCCGTGCTGCTGCCCAGGAGTCTCTTAAGGTAGAGGGAGAGCTTTCGATCTTTTTCTTATTCCTCCCTGTGCTCCTCGGCCTGTGTTCTCAAGCACTGTGTTCATATCTCTGCCAGAGGAACCGTCACGTTCTGTTGTCATTGCCTGTTGATAGAACTGTCCACCCAGTTGTAATGTGGGCTGGATGAGGGTGCGTGCAGTGACTTAATTATTTTTATATCCCCGGGACTTAGCATGGAAGCTGGGCCATAGGATTTGATTTATAAATGACAGCATCAGTGAATTAATAAGTGAGTCTGCAATGGCACGAATTCACACATACCTTATTTCTGCTTTATCTGATCAGCTGTCCTTGGCCTGATGTAACTGCCTTACTCCCTGGACTGATTTAATAAGTTAACTGTTTTTGCATTTCTGTATGCTCTGCTTACTTTACCATAGACGACTATTTTTCTACTAGTTGTACCAACTTTTAGAAAACAAGTCTCTTCCTTGTAAATCATAAATCTCTTTATGTACGGAGTCTTTTTACTGACTGCCCATATCTCATGGAGATGCTAGTAGTTTTGTGCCTTTGGGAGCTAATTCTTTGTCATTGTCATCATCATAATCATCCAATTATTGAGAACGTGCCATTCTGCACGCATGACTGTGCTGAGCGCTCCACTTGGGGACGGAAGAGGGCAGGGAACAGGGACGTTCCTCTAAATTAGATCACCATGTAAGACAGGAACCCGGGGCTACCCAAAAAATTAAATAAGACATGCACACAGCTAAGGTAACATGTTTCTGTTACAGAAAACAAAAATGTAAGAGAAGTTTCTGTAGCAGAATGAGAAAATCAGACAACAGGACATACAGCTCACAACCAGTTGGACAACTGAGCCATCTGTTGGGCTGAAACTGGCACGGTCCTCAGAAGGCCACCCTGACGTTCTCTGGCCACTTTGTCCACCCACACGTGGGTAGGAGGGAAGAGTTGCTCCTGTCTTCCTGCTGTAAAACTCTCTCAGCCTCCAATACTAATCTTTCCACAACCCCAAGACAAATTGTAATCAGGAAGTAAAAACAGACCCAATAAGGGGATAAGAAGCTGTTGGATTTTGCAACATGCCTCCCGAACCCCTCCCAAAAGGCCTCGTGAATTAAATGTATTCTTTGAACGGGATCAGTGTGGGAAAATGAAGCTCAGAAAGCCGGGACATAGGACGGTCTGCTAGACCACATGCAGAGGTTAGCTCCAGTCTGTGGAGGGGTCCCAGAGAAGGGAGCAGCCAATAGAAGGGGGCGCCCCCAAGAAGTCAGCAGCGGATGGGGGGAAGAAGAGAGGGTAAGGGGGGGCAGAGTGGGTTCCTCCTGCCAAAATCCATCCTCATTTCTCCTTAGTTCAGCAGCGGTTCCCTTTGTGATGTTAAACTTCAGCCTTCCCGAAAGCCAATTTGCAGAAACTCATATAAATGTCCAATCTTAACTAGATAAATAAAGCCATTTGCTTGCCATTTCCCACAAAGGTATTTTATGGCACTTAAGTTAATAATTCCCAAGTACTTTTACAACCAAATAGAACACTCTTGCTTTAGGAATCAAATGTGCTGTTTCTATTTTGAGCTTTTTCTTTTTTAATCTCCTAGACTATGTGACTGATTTTCTTGACATATCCTCTTTTGAAATATTACCCCTTAGCATGATTCCATGGTTTATTTTTTTCATTCTTTTGATTTTTAATTCTATAATGTATATGTAAAACAAAAATTTTATTGTTTAAATATGAGTGATAAATCGATAATAAAAAAGTGAAAAGAGGCTTATCTTAAGTAATAAAATAACAAAGTTCTTTTATTTATTTATTTTTTCCTGGTTTAGTTTTTTTTATTATCAAGTTTTATTCTTGTTTTGTTTCCGGTAACAATGTTTTCGCGCACATGGAGGACTGTGTGTGGCAGCAAGAGAAAGGTAGTCGGTAGGTCTTTGCTGCCATCTACTGGTTCTCCATGTAATTAGTTATTGTTGCTTCCATTTGAGAAATCAAATTTTCTATAATGTATAGTACTATAGGTTCCCTTTTTTCTTCTATTTCTTTCTTTAGTTAAAGCAAAGTGAAGCAAATGCAGACACCAAAGAAAAGCTCCCTTTGCGCCTGCGAATCTTTGAGAAATTTCCAAACAGACCACAAATGGTGAAAATTTCAAAGCTTCCTTCAGATTTTACAGTTCCTAAAATCAGGTATTAAAGTATCTCTTTAATTGTATATCTCAAACACATTGTTAAAGATTCATCTTACATATAATTCAGTCCTTCTTTAAAACTCATATGTGGGTGGGGTTTTTTTCTATTTTAGAGTTATCATCCATATTTCTACTCTCTCTACCTCTGTTTTAAAAACCATTAACCCCTTTATACAGTATATTCAGAGAAGAGTCATTTTACAGCTGTACTAGCTTAGGCAAAGGCTACTTCCCACTCTGGGATGACCTCTCAGGGATTTGACTTCCCAGGTAGCTGGTGAACATGTTGGTTGTTGCGGGAATGTTGGATAGATGCCACCCTCTGACCCTCAACCATGTAGATAAAATCTGTGGCCCTTTTATTTGCAAGTAGAGAAAACACCACGAGCCAGGTTTGTGCCCCACTACAGCATTTAGCTCAGTTGGCTAGAGTGCAGTGTTACAACACCAGGGTCAAGGATTCGGATCCCAATACAGGCCAACTGGAAAAAATGAAAATAAAAAAATACAGCCTTTGTTTAGACTGCCGTGTCTGGTAACAATATTATCTGTCTCACCTTTTACAAGAAGAACTGTGGCATTTTCCATGCATACTAATTTGATTTTCTACCACTTTTGCCCTCCAGTCAAGTAAGTGCATAGAAGATGCTTTAAAACACCTGTTTTTGGGGCCAGCCCGGTGGCGCACGGCTACAGTGCGCGACATTGGGAAGCGCGGCGGCGCTCCCGCTGAGGGTTCGGATCCCACATACAGACCGGTTCCTGCTCACTGGCTGAGCGAGGCGTGGGAGCAACACCGAGGGTTGCGATCCCGTTGCCGGTCCTGGTCCGGTACAGGCGCGACACTGAGGGTTGCGATCCGTTGCCGGACACGAAAAAAGACAAAAAGGAAAAAAAAAAAACACCTGTTTTTAATAATGAAAGGAAATTTTTCCAGTTATAGCTCAAAATAATTACCAACACAATCATAATAATGTGAGCATTTTTACTTAACTAGTTTTAAAAATAATTCTAGGGGGAGGAGTAACAAAAGTATGAGACTGGATATGGTGCCATAATATTTGAAATTCAAATAGAAATGTATTTGCATTTCTGATTTTTTTAAAAAATTAATTGAATTTGGTTATTTGAAGGGATGTCACTTGAATTTTCACCGTGCTTTGGACATCAGATAAGTCAGTTTCTTTTGATTCTTTAAATATAATATTACTTTTCAAGGATTCTTGTGATGAATGGAAGTTTGGAGAGATTAACAAGTTCTTCCAAGTCTTAGAGGAGGAAAAAAGTATCTTATTACCTCAATAGGATTTTTTTAATGCCATCAATTACTATACATCATTGCTTAAAAGTTATTTCAGAGACATTAGAACAGGAGTCACTGGGGATTCAGAAAGCTTTCTCTTAATTAATTATTTTGGTAATTAAATATAAATACCACTCTTGGTACTTGTCCTGTTCTCTATGATCTTTTATCACTGTTTTATCTCAAGCGAACGCATTATTGTAAAATACTGTCACTTGCTCCATTTCAATAATAATGCTTGATGCATGTATATTTCACTTGCAAAGGGAAAGTTTTATGAAGCAGTTTATCGATCGCCAGCAGCAGGACACCTGCTGCCTCTTGAGAAGCCTCCCTTCCGCCTCTTCCTCCTGCGATCACACCAAACGGTCAGCAATCGAAGACAACAAGTACATTGACCAAAAAGTAAGAACCACTGTCTCAACTATCCAAATTTTTTTAAGGCATGTATGTTAGAGAAAAGAGCCACAGAACTGTTTAGGGTCCTGGAATCCAATGTCTCAAGAGAATAATGAAGAAAATTATTTTATTTGCCAAGCCATCATTAAACCTAACATTTTTAATTTTATAAATTTAAGTTCTGCGTTTCTGGAGGTCAGCTTTGGAGGAACATGTGGCAGTTGTGTGACTTTGAACACAGTGAGAGCCTCCAAAACCTTTATGTTCTCATGTGCAGAATGAAGGGCTCAGATCTCCAAGGTGCAGTCCAGGTTTTACGATGGCCTGTCTGTTGCCTTCTGTGAGTGAACAGGCTTATGGACAGTTATTACTTCACGGAGAATAACCAGGGCAGGTTTCTCTAAAATCAGTCAAAATAACTGCCCTTTATTGAATGCTTAGTCTGTGGCAGGAATGATCTCTGTAATCTCTAGGTGCATTATCTTATTTATGTTCTAGTTTAACTATTTCTCTACCATTTGAAAAGTAGATAGGGATTTTTCCCCACTCAGATTCTACAGTAAAGTATCATTAGGGAACCACATGCATATAAAGCAAATTCAGTTAATAATTCTAAAGAAATGTAATTTTCCATTTATTCACTTTGAAAAATGACAGAAGAAATAAAATGTATTGTCTAGGTGCAGCAAGTAAATATATTAACACACATAAATTCATGTATGTGTGTGTATGTTATGTATATTATAGAGCAAGCTGATATATATATATATATCAGTTCTATAATATAATCAATATGAGTTCAGTAGTATAATCAGCTGGAAAATGAAAGATCAATAACAGAGTTTGTAAAAGAGGTTAGAGTTGCAAAAGCTTCTAATTCACTTACAAATACTTCACCTTGGAATTCCAAGCTTATTTTTTATTGCCTTTAATAGCTACCACCCTTTTTCTATTGCTTATAATGAAATTCATGTTCCTCTATTGTCATGTGAAAATAAAATACCAACTCTTTCACCCTCCATTTCTCTCTCCATTCTTCGCCACCCCACAGGGTGAGACATTAGAGGCCCCATCCGCTCCCCAAATGAAACACCGCTATGTCTCCCTTTACCTCTCCCCCAATGCCTGGGTCTCTGCTGTCGTTTGGTTATTTTGTTCTGCATTGTTATGATAATAATTTCCTTTGCACTATGTCTCTTCTTTATCAGGGTTTTTCACTGATTTATTTTCTTTCAGTCATCTACAGATGTTATTCCTCTATCTTATAGAACCCAGGACTGTAGATGACAAGCCCGATGCCAATGTTATTATTATTATTTTTTTTTCATTTGAAAGTAATTTGGTTTTTGTTTGGTAGATTTGGTTTGCTAGTTTCTTTCGGGAAGCTTGTAAGATTTTTTCTGTATCCTTAGAGTTCAGAAACTCTACCAGAATATACCTTGTATGACTTTTCTCATCAGAATTGTTCAAACTGGGGAGTCTTTTCAGTTTGCAGACTTATCTACTCGGGGAAATTTCCTTTTATTATGTATTCAATTATTGCTTTTCCATCTGCTCCTATTCCCCTTGGGATTGCCGTCTCTCTACTTTTGTTCTTATTTTCTGCTTTGAGATATTTTTCTACTTGGTCTTCCAGGCCATTAATTTGATCTCAACTGAGATTGTCTTTCGGTTTTAAATTTTTAGTTAAAAAAAAATCATAAAACGTGTGTGTTACTCTCAACTCTCCTTAAAGGCTTTTACTTTTTTCTTTTTAATTAAACTTGTCACCTGTCTTCTTCACAGTTATAATTCACTCCATCCTGTGTATCGGGATGGAAACAGAAGATCGTATGTCAGTGGATAAACAATTGAGAAGATGCTGGTTGCTTTCAGCCAATCGGTCTGAAATTGCACTTTACATACTAGAAAGCAGATTGGTTTTGTCTTGTTTCCAAAGCAGATTGTAAACCAGAGGTGTGGAATAAACCCCCAGTCTGGGCTGTGCTGTGGTTGTGACTGCCTGTCTCCAGAAGGAGAATCAAGAGCTGATGTCCTCTACTCCCAAAGTGGCCAAACCGCCTCATGCTTTTTCATATCGCCAGGAATAATAACCCACTGGACACACAACATTGAAATATTCGTCCATGAACACTTATTTTCTCTCATAAAGGAAACATGATGTTTCTCACATTTCCTGAAAAGAGTGCTTTGATTTGATGGGGAAAAAAGTAAAAAAGATTCGGGCCGGCCCGGTGGCGCACTGCTACAGTGCGCCGCTTGCAAGCGCAGCGGCGCTCCCGCCGAGGGTTCGGATCCCACATACAGACAGGTTCCCGCTCGCTGGCTGAGCGAGGTGCAGGCGCAACGCCGAGGGTTGCGATCCCGTTGCCGGTCCCGATCCGGTACGGGGGCGACACTGAGGGTTGCGATCTGTTGCCGGTCATGAAAAAAAAAGACAAAAAGGAAAAAAAAAAAAAAGTAAAAAAGAGTCTTGGCAGGTGTGTGCAGGGGTGGGGAGGGGTCTCAGAAGGACCGGGGGCCCTTTGCACCCACCTCCCCCCGCCCCAGGCAATCTCTTTGTTAGTCTGGGTTCAAAGAACTTTAAAATGCCACTTCTGGTTTCTTTAATGTCCGTACACTTGTGTGGCTTCTTTTTATCTCCTCACTTAGTTATTTTTAACTAACTGAAAGTAAGATAGCAATGGTGGCTTCATTCTGTAATCTTACACTTGAGCCTTTCTTATAAGCTAAAATAACTGAATTAGCAAAGATAGTACTTCTCAGTGGCATCCAAATTGTTCAGTATATAAAAAAGAGACTAGAATTTTTTGCAGATTGCAGGTAGCCCCAGTCTATAAAGTCAGTTGATTTAGACACACATTATCTTTTTTTTTTTCTTTTTTTTTTTTTATAAGATGACTGGTAAGGGGATCTCAACCCTTGACTTGGTGTTGTCAGCACCACGCTCAGCCAGTGAGCAACCCGACCATCCCTATATAGGATCCGAACCCGTGGCCTTGGTGTTATCAGCACCGCACTCTACCGAGTAAGCCACGGGCCGGCCTGACACACATTATCTTATACAAAGGAAATTATAAATGATGGTTAAGTTGCCCTTCATCCCATGTATGCCTAGTTGGCCCATATGTAGATAAACTACGGTTGCAATAACATTGTTTATCGCTGTACAGCATTCAGTACCCGGGCAAATGCTCCAGTTTGGAGAGTGGAATGTCGAGAAAGTACTTTCTCTTCATCTCAGCAGCAGAGTACCCCGTCATGGGAGCAAAAGAACAGTTCATCTGTGTTGTCATCCATTCGTTCTTAAAGCTTTCGCTTTATTTGTGTTGTCAGAAAAGTAGCCTTAATTCCTTTCAGGATCCACTGCCTTGAGCATTAACTCCACCAACTCCTGTTGTTCTTTATAAATATGTAGGATTTGTCATCCTTTTTGAGTGCTGTTGGGCCAGGGAAATCTAACACAGAAGATCTATCCTAAATTTAGTGATGAGGATTTAATGGAAGCAGAACTCAAAGAGAACGTAGTCTGGCATTTGTATTTTAAATATGGCAAGCCTTTTTCATGTTTACTAGGAAATGCTAAAGCCACTTAAAAACAAAAGTGCATAAACACAGAGCAAAAATCCTGAACATACACCACACCACCATTAGCTCCCCTTATAAAGTATTTTTCAGTGAGCCCTTGGAGATTTCTGTTAAGATCCCAGTTGCCTTTGGAAATGCCAATTGTGTAAAGTGGTAGACAAGGTCCTTTACTCTACGTGAAACACACTGTCCCAGCACTGTGTAAATTGAGGCTGTTTTTCCTTACAGAGTGGTAAGAAAGAAAAAGAAAATTAGTGTCTGGCTTATTCTCACATGAACAAACGAACAGTAAAATAAAACCTTTCCCTGTATGATTACCTGGAAGGAGAAACTTCTGACTTCCACGACACTAGAGGAAGTCACCTTCCTCTTACCTGGGAAATCAGTGAGTCCCCAGGAACCTGAAGATCACAAGTGAAAGGGGGAAAATAAACAATTGACAACAACAACGAAAGGGGGTTGGGGTCTGACTAAGCTTTGCAGAAAACACGAAAGATTCCCTCCTAGTAATGACCCTGGCTCTCAACAGCGATAAGTAATCCCCATGGCAACCTCACTTTGTGGGGACCATGTTTTTAAAAATAGTCCTTTTTGATCAACTTTACCACATTGTTTAAAATACCTGTTCTTCTCCCAGTAAACAGCAAGCAAACAAAAATATAAAATCTTTCTGCTGTTGTTGGGGCCTGCCCAGATCCTACAAGAAAAAGACAGGAAAGAGTGTTTTTCCCTTGGGATAAATGACGGCCCCTCCAGACTCCACAGAAACGACTTTCCCAAGTGGTAATTCCCTCTCCCGTGGATAGCTGAGAGGGGTCCCTTTTCTTCCTGATCAAAGGATCTTGAGAGGAGTTTGTTCTAGTTGCCAAGCAGAAAGAAATCAAGCAATGGTTTTTACTCATGTTTTTTCTCCATATCATTGAAATTAAATCCTTAAGCAGAGTGCTTGTTAATAAACTGAGATGTGAACGTGGCTTTCCGGCAATCCTGCCATAAAAGCGGCCCACTCGGTCTTCAGAAGTGAGTCAGCTCATCAAAGTCAAGGTCCTCATGGTGGGTGAGTTTCGGGATTCTCATGGTTCCTCAGCCTGAGCCCCCTCATGGTCCTGCCTTGACGTCTTGGCTGCTGGTGTGCGGTTTCCCAGGTCAGAACCTGCAATGTCTGGTAAACATGAGCGAACCTCGCTGAGCCACATCAGCCTGAGACAGATGGAGGGGTGAGGGTCGTCCCCGCGCCCACCCACCTTGTGGCCCTGTACTTCCTAGCGCAGTGTGAAAGCCCATGTGATACAGAGCAGTGACTGTTTCTCCAACAATAGGGCAGTGTCTGCTCACCCCCGCGTCTGCCTCCTTTCTTCTATGCACACAACAATTTCCTCAATAAGCCTTCACAAGGAACAGCTAACTCATGTACAAAA